GTTTATGGTATTTTTGTTACAGCAGCCCAAATGGTCTCAGACAATGATAGATTGAAAGATCTTTTGTGGGTCTTATTCTGTTGTATCTATAACATTTGGAACCTAATATATTCAATGCAAATTGATAGAAGTTTTGAAATATGACTATAATGAGTAATAAAAAGTACTCAGGAGTCTAAAATTATTACTTTAACATTACATAGTTTATTTGTGCCCCCTATGGCTAAGCACTGTATTTATAAACGTCTACTTCAGTACTTTCCTCAGGTCTAATAATAAAAATGGCTTATTGGCCCTGTCTTTTGCAGTTTGAGAATTTTCAGAAAAGACAATAAATGTTTGTATTCCAAGACCTACTCAAGCTTTCTTATTCTATATGAATATTAATAACATACAGAGCAGAGAGTGGCAGTCTGTAAATTTAAGAATGTTTCCTTTTGGAATTTTATATAATTTTCAAGTGAAAAGATATCTAGTCCAGTATCACATGAAATGAAACACACTTTGTACATGGCAGAAAAGGGAAGAAATATAAATCTCTGTGTAGAATTTTACATTTCTTTGTAAATTTTTTTAGTGTGAATAAATTATAGTGCAATTTATTAAATATTTCTATCAGTTATACTTAATAAGACATTATTTTGTTACTATTAAAACATCTTTAGATATAAATAATAAAATTCTCTTGAATAACAAGATAGAAGAAATTAATTGTAGGCTTTAATTATAAGCCAAATAACTGTTTTTTAGAACCATGTACTGTAATCTCAGGTTGATCTGCCACAATTAAAGCTGACCTGTTGCTGCAAATAAAATAGGCTGGAGTGAAGTCCTGTAAAAGAGAGTAGAGAAGATCAAAATGAAATAAAAATGGTCTAAAATCCCACAGGACAAAAATTGCCTGTCTTAAACTCTTCCCGGCAGATGCTTTTTAATTTGTTGAATTTTCCCAAAATCTGTCCTTCAGATTGCAGTCCTTGGAATTTGATTTTGCCATTATCTCAGACTTAATCAAGAGAACTGCTGATTTGAACATCACATCTCAGCCAGGGTCCAATCTAGAGACAAAAACTACACAGTGATCTAGACAAAGTTTAATATAGGGAACTTATAATTGTAGCAGAGCTTTAATGACAGATTGGTTAATATCAAAGAGCACTTGAAAATAACATAGCAATATTAGATATAAGGAGCAGGCATTATCTTCAAGGCTGAGCCAGAGTGCACCATGAAGAGACCCCAGGACTGATAACCAGTCTCATAGAATTTCAGAAAAATCACTGTGTAACTGGCTGCAAATCTTGGGAAAGTCAGTCACGGGGAAGTGTCTCACAGGAGGCACTTGACTACAAAACCATTTGAGGGGGTATTTAGGCCACTGGGTGCATTTACCACTATATCTTCTAGGACCCATTCTATGGAGAAACATCTGCTTGCAGGAGCATAGAATCTGTTGCTGTGGAAGCTGCACATGTTGGAGTCAGTCCTTTGGAAGGAGAGAGTAGTGTTTTTGGGGGACTTTCTTTCTGTGCTCATTGGTATTTTCCAGTATCCAGAGCAGCTGCATAGGAGGCATAAAGAAATCTCAGGGAACTCAGCATCTTACAGTTCCTCAAACCCGTTTCCCAGTCTCCATTCTTCTCTTCTTCTTCTTGTGCCTGTTTGATATATAATATCTAGGGTTTTTAGCTGTGCCTAGCAAAGGAATAGAGGGATATGCCCACTCCATTTTCCTAGAATGAAAAGTCTACCTTTGCATTTAAAATTATTTTTGATTGTGCCAGCGAGTGCTTTTCTGGACTTTAAGTGAACATACTAGGACATTATTCTCTGTTTTTTTTAAAAAAAATATATGTATATATATGTATATATATATACATATATTTTTTTTTTCTGGCACCTACCATAGTTTTTTTTCTCCACCTCCCTTTTCTTCCTTCTTCCTTTCTTTCCTTTTACAGTTTCCCTCCCTTCCTTTTGCTTACTTCCTCTTCTCTACCTCCACTCTCCCCGTCCCTTTCCTCTTGCCTTCTATTTTCCTGCCACATAGTTATTCAGAATCTATTAGGTCAATAAGTAACCCAATAACAATTTATGGCTATCTTTCCAATGAAATCACTTCATGTTTATGTTGGCTTGAAACAAGAAAAGTGACAAATGAATTTTATAGTTTCAACACATAATTTGCCTGAACAATTAAATTTTGGGTGAAACACACCAAGAGTTTTCCTCATCAGAAATAATTTTATTATTTATTTTAAAGCGTAGCAAAATGGTACATAGACAGTATACAGAACTAATTCCCATAGGGTTACAAGGACTATTACTGACTTATGTTTTATTTTCATGTGCAAGTGTATTTTAAAAAGGCAACAGTTTATTAAAAGGCTTTTATAAGCATATTTTTATTATTTAAATAACAAAAAGACTAATAAACTATCATTGTTATAGCAAGCCAAGAATTATGTCAAATATTCAATTTGCACTAATGTTTATAATAAAAATAATTATTGTAAAATCTATGAAACAAAAGTTTTAATTTAAAGGAAATATAGTGATGCCTTAGCTTCAAATCCTAGTTGACAACTGTCATCATAATGTAAATATACTAAACTGAGATCTTGTGGGGACATAGAAGATTCATAAAAACTTACATTTAATCCTAAAATCAACACTAATGAAGTAAAGAAATGACAACTCAAAGAAACATCATACTTGACTACTGATGTGCAAATATGGAACAAGTTCATCAAATTTGTTACTATTACCCTTTATATATGCATGTTCAGTTCTGTCTTTAGTTTGAATAAATTACATGTGAATATGTTTGTCAAATGAATTTCACATGTGTTTATTATAACATGTACAGATATATGCATACAACTTTCATTTTAAGGTATACTTCCAATTTTAAAATAACTTATTATAAGTTCTACTTCCTTGTCTGATTAAAGGAAATTAAAGATAGCTCTCCATATTTTAGGAGAAACTCTTGGTGATCTTGTTATTCTAAAATGAGAGCAACATAAAATATTAAAAAGTAACAACAAATAGGCATTTCACTTTCTCTAAGCCAAAGTATACAATGGTTGTAATCTATAATTTCAAATTCTATGCTTTACATTTTTATTTCTATAGAACTATTAGGGCACTATCAGGCTTTATTTTTTTTAATCTTTCTATTTTCCTTTCAGTCTATCTGCTTTTTTATGAAAAGAAAGAATAAAATGTCTCTTTCTAGCCATATTTCCAATACTTTGTGGAATTAAAAACCAATGTCAAAGTCAGAAATTAAATATAATACAAAGAAAAATATCTTTTTAGATTTATTAATGTCTCTCTCATGGGAATACTTTAACAAACTCCAACTACCAGGCAAATAAATTCTTATGCTTTTCATTCTGTTTCTGAAAAGGAATAAAATGATATAGATAAAAGCACTGGTGTCATCAGCAGTCAAAAATTGTTTAACTTATAACTCAAATTCTCATGATTTATATAAAGTGGCAAAAACTATCTCTATTATGTGCTTTTTCTTCATGATGTTCAAATGGTTCTTGTAGATGATTTCTCAAAGTTAAATAAAAAATTTTAACATTACATTTTTTATGTGATTATTTCAATAATGAAGGCATAAAGGAGGACTTTGAAATGTTTTTGTATCCCATAAAATGTACAATTTTGCTTCTTTGAATTTTAAAGTATCTTTCTATTGAAATATACTATACAGGCATACCTTGGAGATATTGCAGGCTCAGTTCCAAACCACAAAAATAAAGCAAATACTGAAATAGATTTAAGTGAACTTTTTGGTTTCCCAGTGCATGTAGAAGTTATGTTTAAATTATACTCTATATTCTATTAAGTGTTCAACAGCATTATGTCTAAAAAAACAATGTTTATACCTTAATTTAAAAACACTTTATTGCTAAAAAATGCTACCCATTATCTGAGCATTTGGCTAGTCATTAACACTGATCACAGATCATCATAACAAATATTATAAGAATGAAAAGACTGAAATATTGTGAGAACTTTCAAAATGTTAGAGACATGAAGTGAGCAAATGCTGCTCACTTACTCAACACAGGGTTACCACAAACTTTCAATTTGTGAAAAATGCAATATCTACTAAGAGCAATAAAGTACAATAAAACAAGATATACCTGTATAGATATATAAAAAGTGCTAACACTCGTGTCTAATGAAAATCATTACTCACATTTCAGTTAATTTATCAGTTCTTGGATTAAACTTAAGTCCACAAATGTGTCTTAAGTATTTTGTTTGTTAAATATCCTTTTAGGAGATCACTAAATATTTTTTTTCATACAATTTTCTTGGCATACAGAGTATGTCAAGCATAAAGTTAGCAAAAAGTTCAGGTACTTGATATTTATGTTTGGTTGTTTTGGTTTCTTCAGTGTAATAAAACATGCTATGAGCATCTCGAATTCTAAAGTGAATATATCATATGAAGAGGTAGAAAAAGGCTAAAATGAATTAAGGATTTATATTCTAAAGCAAACTGATTCTTACAGAAAAGTAGTCATACAAGTTTGTTAATCTCTGTTTAGAGAAGACTAGACATTTATAATGAACTCAATTTTATAAAATAGCAAGCTTAAACAATATGACACATTTAATTTTTAAGAGGAGCAACAATCTTCTATGTCCACTGTGATGCACCAAATAAAGCTAGATTTTTTAGTTTACTTTCATAAAACCTAAATACTTTTAAAAATTGGCTTCATACTGTTTGATTATTGTCAAACAAGTATCAGATTCAATTTTTTTTGTGGTGTAAGTTTTCAAAATCATTCCATTGATATCTTTCAAATATCAATAGCAAGATTACCAATAAGCAGTATTTTAAATTTCAAAATTATCTATATTTCTAAGAGAATAGATTTTTCTTAAACTTGAGAGAATTGAATATATTCCAACTTTTTTTTTCATTCCAACAACACTTTTCTAAGATTTAGAGCTGTTTCAAGAAAGACCCTTGTAGGAAAAGAAAAATGTCTCTTGTTTTCTTATCATCAAAGTTGAGTTTCCTCCCGAACGTCTTGACCAGTGGTGTTGCATATGCTGTTTTTCCGACTGGGTTCACTGTTTGGAAGGTATGCCAGTGGATCTGGTCGGATTAAGTATCTAATACAAGAAAACAAAGCAAACAACTGTAATAGCAAATAAAGGCAAAACTAATTCACAGTGACAATTGAGGTTGCTACCTCAAATGTATTCAGTTTTAGGTTATAAAAACTGTGTCTTTATATGTAACATTGGTAGAAAGACTCACCATTTAGTTGGGCTATGAAATTTTGCTGTACTTGTATTACTCTACCTAAGATGGTTACAATGGCAGATGCTCATAAATCAAGAATCATTATCTTTCAGTCATGATCCATTTTACTACCTTTGTCTTATTAAAGGTTCATATTTTATTTTACTGTTTTGTTAATTTATTATCCTTTATTTTGCTGATGTTCTATCAAGGAGACCTAAATCCTAATCATGTTTCTTCTATTATTTAACTGCTCTTAGTCTTATTTTTATTATTCATAAATTTGATCTAAATAATTCTGATAGTCTTTTTAATTTAAATATTCTATGGTTTTATAAAATTAATGATTTAATAAACATTATGAAGAACATGATGCATAGATATTTTAGTTATCTGAAAAATATTAATCTAAAATCAGATTATTCTATAACAAGCAGTCTTACAAAAGAATAAAAAAGAATCCTTAATTCTTTCTCCTCAGTAAAAGGAAAATGTTCATTTGCCAAACTTACACATTTCAATAATGCTAGAATTTGTATTAAGACTGATCTTTTACTTCATACTGTCAAATGATCTGAGCAGCCATTTCTTGAGCACCCCTAGAATACTGTGCTAGAATACAAAAAGTCACAACCCTGACCCCTGTCTTACATAAAATTGGTAGAGTTTAAATATAAAGAAGAAAAAGTAATTTCAAACATCACAGAAAAAGAAAAAGAACAACAAAGAGAATTTGGGAATACTTAATTGAGGAGGTACTGCTTAGCTGATCTGACAGGAGAGGGGCAGAAAGGCAGCCCTGATGTGGACAATAAGGGGTCAGAGGATGGCCGTTCCAGATTGTCTTTGGAAAATAACTTTGACTTTGGAAGACTGATGAGGCCCGGAAATAGTGCTGAGTAAATTCAGAAAGAAAAGTAGAAAACAGCTAATAAAGTACTAACTATATTTCAGGATAAATACTTTCGATTTCTGTTGCAAAGATACTACACAGCTACTGATGGTTTGATCAGGAAGAAAGAAAGTAAATATATGTAGTGCAGCATTCTAAAAACTTTTTTCATGTTACTAAAATTAGTATTTAATAATTGTATAATAATTTTAAGAAGTACAAAAAATTAGCTGAAAGACTAATTTAAAAGTGAGAAATCTAATGATTATTGTAGTTTTCCTTTTAAAGACTAAAGAGAAAGTATTCATAAAATATGATCCCTAAGGTAATGAGAAAAGGCAATTTAAAGCACTACAGTCTTTTATTTTCTATCAAATAAGTTGAGATTAGTTTCCTTGGATCTGTTAATTGAGTTTGTTATCTATGCACACTGTTTTATAATTACTTTAAATATTTAACAGCATTATACATTGATGAAGAAAACTAGTAGTGTACATTAAGCTTTTTAATATTATTTTGTACAAATAATTTATAAATGTAGGGCTTACAGAATGTTACTTTGATGCATTTACATAATATGATGCCATTAAAATGATATTTGTCACATTAACATCATTATACAACAGCATTATTGACAAAGTTCATTATACTGTGTGTTAGAGCTCTGTGGCATAGTTACTACTCAAATTTGTATCCTTTAAACACCATCAATCCCATTCCCTTGTCCCCTATGCCCTGGTAACTGCCATTTTACTCCTTCCTGTAAGGTTTAACTTTTTGTTTGGATTCCACATATAAGTGATATCAGAAAATACTTGTCTTTTTCTATCTGGCTGATCTCCCTTAGCAGAATGTGCTCAAGTTCTACCCGTGTTGTCACAGATGTCAGAATATCTTCTTTTCTTATTGCTGAATAATATTTCATTGTGTATATATACCACATCTTTTTTTTTCTATTCGTCTGTTAATGGGTGTTTGGGTTGTTTTGTATCTTGGTTATTGTGAATAATACTCTAAAAAAACAACTGGTGTGCACATAGCTCACCAAATCCTTTCCATTTTCATTTCCTTTGGGTATATCACCAGCAGTGGACTTTCTGGATTATATGATAGATCTATTTTTAACTTTTTTAAGAAACTCTGTATTGTTTTCCATGGTGGATGGACTGATACACACCCCTGCCGACAATGTGTGCACGCCCCTTTCATCGCGCTTGCTGGCTCCTGCTGTTTCTATCTTCCTGATGATAGCCATTCTGATCAGTGTGAAGAAATATTTCATTCGGGCTTTGATTTGCATTTATCTCGTAATTAATGATCTTGAAAATCTTTTCATATGCCTTTTGAGCTTTTCCACTTTGGAAAAAGTCCATTTAGTTCTTCTATTTTTTTAATTAATTATTTTTTGTAATTAAATTGTATTGATTATTTATATATTGCGTATATGAACCTCTAATCCAATGCATGGTTTTCAAATTTTTTCTCCCATTCTGTAGCCTTTGACTTTGTTGATTGTTTCTTTTGTGGTGCAGAAGCGTTTGAGTTTAATGTGGTCCCATTTGCTGATTTTTTATTTTGTTTGTGCTTTTGATGTCATGTCAAAAAATCATTACTAAGGCCAAAATTGATGAGTTTCTTCCCTATATTTTCTTCTAGGAGTTATAATATCAAATCTTAAGTTTAAGTTTTTTAATACATTTTGAGTTAATTTTTGTGAGTAGTGTGAGATAGGGGTTCAATGCTATTGTTTTCCATAAGTTTCTCCAGTTTTCCCAGCATTATTTGTTGAAGATACTTTCCATCCCCCATTAGGTGTTCCTGGCTCCCCTGTTAAATCTTAATGAACAGTAAATGTTGGAATATAATTATGGGCTCTCTATTCTGTTCCATTGGTCCACCCGTTTTTGTGCCAGTACCATTCTGTTTCAATACTATGACTAGGTAGTATAATTTAAAATCCAGACAGGTGAGACCTCTGACTTTGTTCTTTTTTCTCAGGGTTGCTTTGGCTACTTGGGGTCTTTTGTGGTTCCTCACAAATTTTAGTATTTTTCTTCTCTTCCTTTTAAGAATGCCTTTGGTACTTTGACAGAGATTGCACTGACTCTCTAGATAGCTTTGGGTAGCATGGCCATTTTAACAATAGTTATCTCCCCTTCTGCTGCATCAACAAGGAATGTCTTTCCATTTGTATGTGTCTTTCTTGATTTGTTTCAGCAAAATCTTGTAGTTTACTTTATACACCCTTTTGCTTGGTTAAAGTTATTTCTGATTGTTTTATTTAATTGTTCTAATTAATGTTACTGTTATTATGCTATTTTGAATGGGATAATTTTCTTCATTTCTCTTTCTGATTCTTCATCATTAGTGTAAAAGAATTCCACTGATTTCTGTAAATTGATTTCATAAACTGCCATTTCACTGAAATAATTAATTCTAACAGTTTTGATTGACTTGGGATTTTCTACATATATGATCATGTCAGAATATATCAACAATTTTCCTTCTTCCTTCCTAGTTTGGATGACTTTTATTTATTTGTATTACTTAATTGTTCCAGCTAGGACTTCCAGTACTATACTGAATAGGTGTGGTGAAAGAGGGCAACCTTGTCTTGAAAGAAAATTCTTTCAATTTTTCCCATTGATTATGTTAACAATGGGTTTATTATGCATGACCTTTATTATGTTGAGGTATGGTCTACCTATACACAATCTGTTAAAGATTTTTATCATGAAAGGGGATTGTATTTCATCATATTCCTTTTATGTGTCTATTGAAGTGATCATGTGATTTTTATTTTATATTTTATTCATGCGATGAATTACACTTATTGCTTTGTGTATTTTGAGTATCCTTCCATCCATAAGTCCCAAATGATCATGGCATATAATCCTTTTAATGTGTTCTTGACTTTGGTTTGTTAATATTTTCTTGAGAAATTGTGCACATATGTTCATCAAGGATATTGATCTATAGTTTTCTTGTGGTATTTATATCTGATTTTGGTATCAAGGTAATGTTGGCTTCATAGGATGAGTTTGGAAGTGTTCCCTCCTTTTCAATATTTTGGAAGAGCTTAAGGAGGATTGGTATTAATTCTTCTTAAAATGTTTGGTAGAATTCACTAGTGAAGCCACCTGGTCCTGGAATTGTCTTTGTTGGGAGTGTTGTTTTTTTTTAATTACTAACTCAAATTCTTGATTTTTTATTGGTCTGTTCAAACATTATATTTCTTCCTCACTCAGCCTTAGGAGGTTGTGTCTTTCTAGAAATGTATCAGTTTCTTCTAGGTAATGTAATTTGTTGAAATAATTGTTCACAGTAGTTACTTAATAAATGTCTGTACTATCAATTGTAATGTATCATTTCTAATTTTATTTATATGTCTGTACTATCAATAAATGTCTGTACTATCAATCAAATGTATCATTTCTAATTTTATTTATCCAAGTCTTTTCCCTTTTTTACCCTAGAAAAAGGTTCGTCAATTTTCATATTTTTGAAGTTAGTCATATTAGTTTCATTGACCTTTTATAATGTTTTCTGGTCTCTATTTTGTTTATTTCTGCTCTGATTTTTACATTTTCTTTATTCTGCTAACTTTGGGTACAATTTGTTTCTCTGTTTATAGTTATTAAGGCATTAGGTTAGGTTGTTTATTTCAGATCTTACTAATTTCTTAACATATGGATTTATTGGTACAAACTTTCCTATTAGAACTGTATTTCCTGAATTCAATGAAATTTGATATATTGTATTTTCATTATGACTTGTTTTGAGAACATTAAGCTTTTTAACACCTATCACCTAGTGATTTACAACTCTTTAAATCAAATTAATGTTGTCCATTCTTTTACGTGAACTTTTGAAAGCAATTTTTTTGAAAAATAAAAATCAAGTGTCACTGATATAGTTGCAAAAGTTCCTTTCCTTATTATTATCCCTATAAAACCCATTAATCTAAAAAAATTAATTTCTTAAATGTATTTCTTAAATGCTACTTGTCATGGTAAGCACTTTTTCATGGTATTTATCATTCTTCAAGTTATGCTGAAATTTTATTATCTCAGTACTACAAATAAAAATTACTAAAAGCTTTTTATAGCAGTCAGGCTGATATTTTAGCTTAATCTAATAAAAATGATAGTATCCAAAAGGCAGAAAAATGTCTCATTTATTTTATTGTATACATTGTACCTATATTACTTGTAAGTTTAAAAAATGTTTAAATTATAAACATCTATGGAAGGATATGTTCATAGACTCAAAAGTTTAACAATATCTCCCCATTCCATCAAAAATAATCATGGGAAATAATTATATTAGACTCAAGAAACTACAATGAATTATAAAATGCAAACAAGGTGAACATAACTTTTAAAAAATTCTGTATCATTAACACAATTATAATTAACTTGAAAAAGAGTCATTAGAATGTTGGAATTACAGAGGCAGATTAGAAAGTTAATAAAAAATTGCCTGATTTTATGGGTTAAAGGAAAGAAACATGTATAAATATGGACACAAGAAAAACAGAGAAGTTTCCTTTTACTATAGTAGTACAGTTAGTGAAGTCTCCAGAATGGACAGTTGAAAATTAGGTTCATCACAAATAAGACATTTTCATCTAATTTGAAGTCCTCTTTAAATTTAACATCATCACTGGATATAATTTTTGACAGCTGCCTTGCAAACTCTAGCAGCTGAAATCACCATTCATCTAATTCACCACAGAGCGTGTCTTCTCACTAGCATTATCAGATGGCAAAGTAAGGCATTATTATACTTGCTATTTGTATCTTAGGTGCATTATAAAAATCTCTTCACACTGATTTTAGGTCAAGGTTATTTCTGCTATGCATTTTCCTAGGAAGATTTTGAAACACAATCATCTTTATGCCCTGAAACTGAATACTCTCAACAGTCCAATATCCATTCTTCCACTTTTTCTTCTTTCTGCAACTCTTCTTTGGAAAACAATCATTCTCTTTGTAGCTTTATTCATCTAGAAGATGAAAAATAAATATTTTCCATATAGAACTAGTTTCTCTTCAGTGCTCTAGTATTTTGCTTTCTAGACATTTCCACTTAGTGCATTGAACAATATATCTAAACTCCATCTCATCATCTCCCTTTCCTCCCCAACCAACACTCCTCTTTCCTGTTTAGAAAAATTCCTCTCTAGTCTGACTTGTTTCAGTGAATGAACATTTTTTCTGTAATAACATAGATTTAAAATCCTAAAGCTGTGTTATATCCTCTCTTTTCCAATTCCCACACCAGTGAACAAGTCTCACTCTTTTCCTTCATAAATTTCTCTACGTAATATCCTTCTTTTACAATCCATTATCCTAATAGTATGACATATTCTTATATCCCTCACACCTGCCGAACAGCTTTTTAACAACCTTCCCTTTTCCAGGCCTACTTCAACCCTAATCCATTCAGCCAACCAATTCTACTGCCTCTGGCATACTCCTTTAAAAAAATTAAGCCCTTTTCCCCCCAGCCAAACTCTCCAACAAAAATGACGACACATAAAAGTAGACTTCTAATTCTTGGCATATTACTAACTCTGGTTCTAAACCACTTGCATGGATCCATTTTATGTTCCCTATGACAATGTTCTCACTCCTCCTTGTCTCTGGCCTTATTACTTATTTTCCTGACTATAGATATAATGAATCCTGGGGCCAAATACCCACCAATACTTTTGTATCTTTGGCATTTGTTTTATGTTGCTAATACAATCGGAGTTAGCTTCCTTGGGTAAGCAGCTTTTGATCAAGTTGAGCATCTGGACCATGGACCTCAAGGGCAGATTCTCATTAGAGAATTTTCTAAGCTTACATTGACAACTGTCAAAATGCCTTCTCTAAAATCATGATGCTCTTTTGTTCATATACCTAACTGCTTTGGGTTGCCTATAAGGTTAAGTTTAAATTATTTTCTTATCTAAAGTCTTTCCAAAGTCACATTTAATGTATATATTGCTATTAGATTTTTTATGTTTAAATTGTAGTTTTGTTAATTAGAATATAAGCACTTTGAAATCAAGGAAAATGTCTTATTCATCTTTATATCACAGTTTTAAGGCAACAGAAGTATAATTGTACATACATAGTACATAGTTTTTGATTAATAAAATTACTACCACAGACCTTTCCCTAGTAAGTGTTTTGACCTATTTTTATTTTTGGCTTTTAGAAAATCTGATGTAATTAGAAGTAGTGTGAGATCATTCAGGTTTTCCTTTGAGCTGTTTTCTTATCCACATATTTTCTCTTATTCCTCCAAATATGTTAGCTCACAGGATAGAGAATTCATTTTTCTATGTCCTTCTTTTATATCTGTTATACCTGTTTTTTTTGTAGTATTCACAACCAAAAATAAATAAAATTCATTTGTTTATTGAACACTAAAAATTAAACTTGGACTTTCTAAGCATTTATATCACAAAAAAAGGGGCTGTAATGGTGGAAATAAAAGCAAAAATAAATTAGTGGTTTTTCTAAAAATAAATGCCTTACTTGAGTTATCAGATCAACTTACACAACATCATTCAGCTCTAGTCTGGTGTCTGGAGATGGGTTAATCAGGATGTAGGAGAGTGTACTTTGATGATCATTCATTTCATCTAGAAGATAAATAAATACCATTTGTTAACCTACAGAAAATTACAGTAATTATTGTAGAGCATCTTATCTTCAAACCATATAGCTGTTAATGAGAACTTGCAATAGTTTTGTCCACAGCACTATTGTATATAACTTTGACTATTTTCAAATTCCTATCATTGGAAATATCTGACGGGTACTTATTGATGATAAAAATAAAGCATCTAATTCTATTCACAACAAACACAGTTACATTCTACCCTTTAAGCTGTTACAATGAAAAGGCACTACTATTAATAAATAACTAGGTGAGATGTTTACTTGATTTATTATGTCTTATCAATTATAAAAAATAACTGTAAAAGCTATCCCAGGAAAAAATATGCATATGGGAAATTCTGTGAAACATCATCTAATGGCATTGTACATAGAAAACACAATAGAAATGTATCCAAAAAGCTCAAAGTCCTTAAATATGTATGCCTTTGTATATCACATGTCTGATATAAACCATTCTAATGTGTTTTTTCAGAATGCAAAGAATCCTTTGGAAGAGAATTAACTGTAAGGTGAAAGTGAAGTGTACTACTGAGTCATTTTTCCCCCTAAAACAATATATATGTTTAAAATAAAAGGCCACAACCTTTAAATTGTGTCAGTTCCCTCTGAAGGCATCTTAAGGCTTCAAGTGTGGAGAGTTGACTTAGCGTGATAGGACAATGAAAGGAAAATAGCTTTGGGAACTCAATGTTTTAGCTGTCAAGGCTATGATAAGATGTAAATGCAAAGCTACGTGGACACATACTTCAATAAACATTAATTTTCCAAGGATAAAGTTTTACATTGTGAAGGTATTGTTTTCAATTCTGCTCTAGAGCCCCAGTATCCTTTGAGCCACTTCTGCTGCGGACAAGCATGGCTCCTGAAAGATGTACTAGACTCTGCAGTTTGATCCAAAATCTGAGTATATTTCATACCAGTAGAGATCTATCAATACTCAAATAACTGCATAAAATTAAAGGTCTTTTTAGGCCAATATAGCTGACCCTGATTATTAATTGCACTTGAAAATATATATTATTTTCATAATATAATGCCTAACAGTGTGTTCATCTAACTAGAAACCTATCACTTAAATGTGAAAGACTTAATATTTTCATTTATGATATTTCAAGTTGATATACAATATGCCTTATTTTTAAAGTCTATAAAATAGGAATCCTTCTCTTACAAGGAACGAAAACTACAGTATAAGTGAACCCACCATAAGTTTGCTAGTAAAATTATTATGGTCATAAGATCATTGAAATAATATTCAAATAAAGGAATATATTCAGCTCTGTAACTCTGGGGTAGACAGGAGGAGTTTTCCATAGGAATAAATTTGTCAGACAAACTAGAGAAAGCCCAGTGAAACCTGAATAATAATATTTTAGCATAAATATGTCCCAAATACTGCAAGTGACATACTTATACTAAAATATTATTTGTTGCTTATCTGAAATTCAAATTTAACCGTTAATCCTATATTTTTATAAGCCCAACCTGTCAATTATACCTACGGGTAGAGGGCTAACTTAACCAGCTGGAGCTTGGAATTTCAATGTGTATATAATGATAAGCATACTCCAAATAAGGTACTCCAACTCAAAGCATATTTTACTAGCAGGAGATTCCCAGGAACATTTTTCTATATAAAAAGAAATTTTGATTTATGTATGTTTTTTGAGAAATTTTCCCCTTGTGTGAATTTCCACAACTGCTTGATGAAGGGACAGAGGTTACTCAGCAGTGAATTTTGGAGCAAAGCATAATGCTCTGAAATATAATAGGTCTGCTAGAAAACCTTCATGTCATTCAGTTATGTATAACTCAATTTCTTACAGAACAGCAGCGTTATCAAATTTTCTTATATAAACAATGAATATTGTTGAGCAGTGGCATTAGAAGGAAAACAATTTTAACAAATGACTTTTGTCAATGTTGATACCCAAACTTTTTCCTTATTAACATGCTGTTATACTCATTTTTGGTTCTGTAATAAAGTCAAAATTTATTGGTGACTTGATTTGCCTGTTATAAATGTACGACTGTTCAGATAACTGAACTTCACAGCAGTAGGTAGAACTATTGTGTCATGGACTCCAGGAACTGGAGCAAACGTTTTGCTAATGTGTTCAGTTCAATGATTCCATATGGTTTATACAGAGATAGGAGTTACATCACAATCAGAGTTCATTGTTTTTGGTTTTTTTCCTCTTCTACAATTAACTGACTCTTCCTCCATGTTCGGTTAAGAGAAGTGCTGAGTTTAAAGACATTTTCTCCTTCTCATTCATGACTGCCTTGCTGTACAGTTAGTTAATTCTGATCTGCTTGTTCTCTGCCATGCTGCTTTATTGAGAAGTCATGCAGTTCATTCTCTCTCTTTGTAATTTTAAGAATTAGAAAGCAAGGTTTTTAAAGCCCATCATGGTCACGTATCAAAACCACAGTCAACTATCTAGTTTTATCAGCCATAATCTGGTATTTTCCTGTTAGATCATTCCCATGTTTATTTTTTAGTTATTGCTGAACTCTGGAGAAGAAAGTGTGATAGGTTTACTGGATCTTTAAGACCCTATCATTACCATTATCACTGATGGTGGCAAAGACATAAGTGGATTCAATGAGGCTCTTTACCAAAAATATACTATATTTAGTGAATAAAATAAATTTGCTTTGGAAAATTTGTCTCAGGAACCAGAATCAAGATGAACCTATTCAGTATGCTCCTGGTATGTAATCTCTGACCTTGGCAAAATAAAAAGCACACTATGATTAAAGTTGTTTCATTGAAATTATTATTTCATCATTGATAAAATTATCTTAATGAAACCATTGTGCTTGTGAAAAATTGAAAATAAAGCACTAGTATGTTCAAAACTTTAAAAGAAATTCCATAGAGTCAAATTCAATAATTGCTAGTAGTATTTACCAAGAAATTTATTTAGCTACATTAACTAGCATATGCATTATTCAATCCAAATCTTCATAGAGCAAATATTCTCCTTAGAAATATTTCATATAAACAGGTAATATTAGAAAATAAACTAAATTACACTCCTTTGTCTTTACAAAATAATTTAGTAAGTGCAGTTCCACATGCATGAGTTTTATTTTTTCTGGTTTGGTTTGGTTTTTAAAATTTTCCTGTTGAAGTATTTCAAAGAGCTCTTTTATAAAAGGTGAATAAAATTTGTTAAGAAAGAAATTTAAATCTTACATTTGTAGATTTTATTGAATAATACTTCCAAAAACACATATCCATTATGTGTTGTTTAATCAGAGAAACATTTGAAATAACACAAAGGTATCACTGAGAGACTCAAATGAGAGGGCCTGCCTGGAAATCCTGGCTTCCCTCATCACTCACGCTGAGACCTTAGGCAGACCGCTTAATTCCTTTTACTCTCTCTGGGCTGTTTCCTCACCTATAAATGGGGTTAACAATAGTGCTATCTCATAAGTCATTGTTACAATTAAATTTTAAATGAATAATAAATAAAATTTAAAATATATTAATGTAAACATAGTAATCAGTACCCAATTCATACCAAGTGATATATAACACTTCCTATTAATATTGTAGCAGGCAAAAAATAATCAGACTTGTAAATAATTGTATACATAGTTTGATATGAAGGTGTTGGCATGCAAAGAATGGAGGAAAAAACGTTCAGAAAAGATAACAGCAAATGGGAAAGGCTGAGATGGATGAGTTTAAGTTGCCAAAAGCAGCTGAGTCCTCAAGTGAGCAAAGAGGAGGTTAACTGGAGATGATGCTGAAAGGCGAGCCAAAACCAGATCCCACAGACTTTGACCACAAGTTTGAATATTATTGTAAACGCAATGGGCAGCCATTGAAAGGTCTTAAGGATGGGAGATTTGGTGGCATGGTCTGATTTCTGATTTACTGGGTCACCTTGGCTGTTCTGTGGAAAATGAAGTTTGGAGGCTCAATTCTAGATATGGGAATAGTGCTCCAGTCCCCCACCCCCACATCGAATATCGACATCTAGAGCTACTGTGCATCTGCGGTGAAAAGAAGTTGATCAATAAATGCTAGTTTCTTCAAAATACTATGACAGCTACTTTATATTATATTAAGTTATGTGAGCCAAATCTACATATATTGTCTGCAAAGTAAGGAAAATGGGTACACTAATTTTTAAATAGAACATCAATCACACTTTCAAATTATGTGTTCTGTATGTTTTCAGGTAAACTACTTCTGAATTTAAAACTATGACTCTAGTTGATAATCCTAAAATGTAAATAAATACACTACAGAAGTCTAAAAGGTTTTGGGAAGACCTTATTATCAAATTTTTCAATTTAACAATAGGACATACTGCTTTAAATTTAGATACTTTACCTGCAATAGTATCTAAAGGTAAAGAAAAATATGTCAAATATATTATTTGAACAATATAAAAATAAGTATATAGCATGTTTTCCAATTTTATAGCTATCCTATAGTACTTTTATATGATTTACAGGACACATTTTTATAACTTGATAATCATAATTCACCACATGACATTTATTTTTTTGTTCTTTAGTTTAGTTATGTAATAATGTTAAGTGGTAAGATTAAAGTCATAAATAATTCTAAATCTGGTGATACAGCAAAGAACAAGATAGGCAACTCTTGCCTTCAAGGACACTTTTAGCAATTTTCTTGAAAAGCAGCATACTATGTAATAAAATCTTCAGTATAGGAGTCAGGAATCTTAATTATAGGTTTACCTATAACTAAAAGTTTACTGTAAATTTTCCATGTGATTTCAGCATATCACTTGAGTCATTTAGGTTAACCATCATTGTTCTGCTTATCTCACAGAATTTTTGGTAAAACAAAATAGCAAATTCACTAATGCCAACTACACTTTGAATGACTTTTGAAAAATGCATACGGTAGTGCAATCTCTACCATAATTGTGATACAGTGCCAATTCTCCAGTGCCAAAAAGTTCTC